GTAAAGACAAAAACTAGCGTGATGCCTCCCCATAAAGGAGGAGGTGCTTGACGAGCAGGATTTGAACACGTCACCACTCCTTCGCATCTCATGGCTGAGAAAAAAAATCCTTCTTTGAAACCCAGCATTTTGGGGACACCCCCCTCTACCCTTTTATGCTTAAACTCACTTTTTATATCTTCACTTTGATCTGTCTGTAATAAACTCCCTTCTCTTATTCAGAGGCTGTGGTTCCCCCCACCAAAATCAGTGTCGTGATTGCAAAATCAGTGGGGCCAAGCCCCGGGGGTGGGTTGTTTTGGTTATCGTCCACCAACGTTAAGTGCACGACGGATGGTACTGTCAGAATGAATCCCTGCAGGAAACCCTAAAGAGGATGAAACACCCAGATGAATCCCACTCCCAGCCATATATGCGTGGGGGGGGGCGTGGGGGTCCAGACACACCCAAAGCAGTTCAAAACCACCAGCCTAGCCAAATTCTCGACTTGGCAAGCTTGGCGTGGCTACCGTTGCCCTCCTGCTAAGCNCCCCCCCCCCCCGAGAAAACAAAGTTATGTTGTAACTGGGAGCCTCTTCCTTCTGTTTTAGGATGGGGAGAAAGCAAGACAGCTCACCTGTCCGCTAGTCCAGAGATACCTTTTTCACAACAGCCTGCTGCTTATATTTATTCGTAGTTTTATTTCCATTCTACCCCTTCTGTTCCCCTTTGCAGGAAGCTGCGGGCGACGGGCTGGGCTCCTCCCCTCTCTGTTCTACCCTCCTAAAAATAACCCTGAGAGGTAGGCCAGGGACCGATAAAGGATGCGAGTGGCCTGAGATTCAACATCTGGATCCCCAAAGTCACAGTTCACCTCACTAACCATTACTTTCTCCTCTCTGTCAGTCCCAGAGAGCTGGCGTGCAGCTGTCAAGACACCACCCGGGGCCTGCATCAGCAGCATTCGAACCCACGCCACCACCCGGGCGATGGAAGGCCTGAGGTTGCATTTTAGGTGAGTCACCAACTGGGAGATGCTGGGAGCAGGCCAACCGAGAGGAATACAGCTAGTAAACGTTGGGGCAAGGATCACACCCATCAACAGAGCATCTGCCCTCCTGAGAGGCATCTGGCCGCCCTCCATCCAAAATGGGGTGCCAGGATGGGTGGACCCGAGAGCCTGGCCAAGCCGGCTTGCGCCTTCTCTGCAGTGCTTGGTTACACTGCCGAGGGGGGGGGGAAGGGATATTCTGGGATTCTCTCCCCCCCTACACCCATGGGGCAAAAAAAGGTCTTGCTTCTCCATCACCCAGCTGGTAACAACAACACGGCCAGGTCTCCCTCATCATCATGTGTCGGGGCATTCATTCTCCCTGCAAGCCTTATTGGCTGTCACGTTTCCCCCGGATTTTGCACACACTTAGGCTACAGTGCCCCTGCATCTGGAGAAGGGAGGAATCGTGTCCTACCTCACAGGGTTGTGTGGGAGCAAAACCGCCCCATGACAGGCAGACTAGGTGACAAAGCGCTTTGCCAGTTTAAAAAAGCACCGTAGAAAGTTGGAGTTAAGCGGAGAGATTTAGTTATCTTTTTACCCCTTAAGGTTTCACATTCTTCTCTTTCCCTTTCCCTACGGGGTCTGGAATCGGAGGCCGGGGGGGAGGGGTTAAGGGCATCCCAGAAGATGCTCGGCTCATGCCACAAAAAGACAACTCGGCTGGGGGGGCACACACACACAGCGAAATCAGCTCCAGCAGCCCGTCTGGACCCTTTGCTTTTTCTTCGTTCTCCCAGTCCCCTCCCACCTCCTCTATTTTCAAAGCCAAGCTACAACACATGCAGACCAGATCTCCCCTCCAATTATTATTATTTGGACTACAACTCCCATCAGGCTTAGCCAGCCTAGCCAGTAGTGAGGGACGATGGTCTAGGTGGCCTCTTGAGAGCAACAGCTCCCTGCCCCAGAGCTTATAAATATCCATTTGTTGGAGGGCAACTCCCATCATCCTCCCTCCACGAGCTGGGCTAGATAAAGCATTCTGGGAGTTGTAATCCAAGTGGTTATCTTTTCCCAGGAACAGCTGAAGTATATAAGGTGGCCTAACCAAGACAATCTCTGCCCATTAGTCATCCACTCCAACAGCAGCAGGAACAATGTTTCATAGACTTGTCTTTGCAAAACATTATCCTCACCCACCCACACACAAAGGAAAACCCTGGATGCTTCAGGGAGGTGGGGCTGTGGAGGTGACACCCCTCAGATGGAGCAACGCATAGCAGAAATGGGCTTGCCACACTTTTCAGATCCCCCGGAAGAGATAAGGGCATCCCGCATGGAGACATGTCCGCTTTGTGGATTCTCATCTCAACGGAGAAGGATGCCGAGGAGGGAAGATCCGACCCAAACCCAGACCTCAGCTGCACCCCAGGTAAACCAGGCGCACCTAATCCAATTTTATTTCACTTATTACTATGTTTTTTCCCCCAAAACAGAAACACAATTTATGAATCCCGTTGGGCCCCCATCCCTGGCTTCCCAACCCCTCCATAGCCACCCATACCAACCCCGTTTCGACCAAACCGCTTCGCCTTCTTTGGTCGCGTCCAAGGCAGGGGGGGCGCGAACAGGGGTGACTCTTTCTACCCCTTTCCATCCCCTGAAAGTCTGTTGCTTGTGGGGTTCCTGCTTCCCCATCAAACCACCTCTTTTTCTCAAACAATAACAGCAGTCATCAAAAGTAGGCCTCGGTCGCTCGTGCGTTTGGGAGCGCAAGAGCTGACCCAGACGTTTGTTCTCCTAAAGCAAAGAAAGGAGAGTCACCTTAAAGCACACACAGAGAGCCGGAATTTCTCCCACCCTACGGGATTTCGACTTAGGGCAGGGTTTCAGCTGCCCCACAAGAAAAGAGAAGTGTTTAAAGTTCATAAAAGCTGGGCTGGAGAAAGTTTGAGGTAGGCCTCCCAGCCGGCACTTCCTGAAAGTCCCAGAGAGAAAGAAAGAAAGAAAAAAAGGGGGGGGGGAAAGAGACACAGAAAAATCACTCTCAAAATGGGACAGAGGGACATCCACACATCCAGGCCAGGCCCTCCGAGCGAGCAGGATTGAATAAAAGGCTGAGCAGAGCTGTAGGAAGAAGAGTTTGTTGAAAACAACAAACATAGCTTGAAGGCACTGATAGAGGAAGAGACAAGCCAGCTTTAAAAAAAAACACGACATTGGCCCTGCCACAACAGGGACCTGGCAAAACCAGATGGTAACCATGCCGGGGGATAATTTAATCATTTAATGTAAATAAAACCCCTCCTGCAGGACGTTTTACTAGCCATTTTATCCCTACTTCTCCAAGCAAAAGGTCCGAAGAAGACCAAGCTCTAGCTGAAATAGTCCTGGAAATTTTTATTTGAACTCCAGGATCCATCAGCCTGGGAGAAAAAAAAAGAAACATACTTCATTCATTCCATTGCGCTTGGCCAAAATTTTAAGGACACTCCCTTTTTTTTGGGGGGGGGGAAGCTCAGCTTCCAGCAAATCCCCCCCATGGCAAATTCTGGGGACCCTCACCAACAAAAAGCACACACACACACACACACATCCATACACCCCCGGCTCACCTGGGGCCTAAAAATATATTTTTCCACCATTCAATCCAAAGAGATGTTTAAAAATCCAAATAAACAAGGAGGAAACTGGCCCAATATACCTTCTATATAAATATATATACATGTAAATAAGGCTTCTACTTTTATTCTACTCCCCTGGATCTGACAAATAGATATAAAGGTGGGGAAGAAATGGAGAGAGAGAACTTTTCATGAACAGCCTGCAAAGGGTTCCCCACCCTTTTAAAAGAAGCGATTCCGACCCCATTCAGAAAGCCAAAAGACGGCTTCCCCACCCAAAAGAAAAAAAAAAGGAGCGAATTACCTTCTTGACGGCGAAACACAGATTTTTTGGGGGGGGGAAATGTTCGGTAAAGGAAGGAGGGGGCCCGCCTGCCTTTAAAAAAAAGAAAGAAAGGGGAAAAAAAAAGAAGAACCGAGGCGCAACCCCACGCGGGACTGAGTCACGCCGAGGAAAGGAGGAAAAGACCCCACCCGGAAAGCGGCGCCCACCGCGAGGATCGCAGCCTTTTGCGCGATCCTCCTTTTGCGCCCGGAGGATTCAGATGGGGAAGCCACGTTGAGGGAAGTTACGAGCGGAGGACGGGCTGACTTACTTCCGAGGAGTCCGCAGTCCTCCCCCTTCCGCGGCGGCCGGCGGGACTTTACTCCCGAGGAAGACCCGAGGAGCGTCGGAGGAGCCGCCAGGCCCGCCCGCCTTGACTCATCTCCCCCACCTCCCGACTCTCCCCGTTACGTTTCCCTTGGCAGGGGCGGGGGGAGAAAGAGAGGTTTACTTCCGAGGAAACGCGCTTCCTCCGGAGGTGGGTGGGTGGGGAGGAGGCGGAGGCCAGGGCGCGCCTTACTCGCGAGGAACCCGCCTTGGCCAAGCCCCAGCCCAAGAGGCCGCGAGCGGGGGGGGGGGGAGAAGCCTTTGGAGCA